CTTGGAGGAGTCACTCTTTCTCTCCAGGCCTCAGTTTCCCCATCTATAAAATGGGAAGACCAGACTAGATCATTTCCAAGTTCCCTTCCAGCTCTAAATTCCATGATTCTACCAGGGATTCTACCATGCAATGTCCCCTGTTGCCCTCGAGATGCCAGAAGCCTGTATCTTCCCTGGCTATCCCTCTCTGTGGCTACCTTCTCCTATGCTAATGCCTGGGGAGGGACATGGCATGCTGGAAGGATCCTTTCCCAGGAGAATAAGCAGTCAAGATCTGAGCCGCTGGCCACTGCCCCGGATCCTGGAGTGGGGCACAGATTAGGGAAAGGGAACACCCATGAAGCTCTAGGTCTTCTCTAAGTGGAAGGTTCCTGCTTTCAGGGATGGATTCCACCCACCAGGAATCCCCAGGGCTTCCCCCTGCCAGCCAGACCCGTCTGGCTGCTGCGTAAAGCCGAAGCCCAGCCGGAGGAGACTCTGCAGTCTAATCAAAACACAGAAGGTTAATGAAGGAACTAGCTCACAGCCTGCCATCTTCCACCAGAGTCGCCTGACCTACAACACTCCCCGGGGATCGGCTTGATAATCTAATAGGTCTCGGGTTGTTGTTGTTGTTGTTGTTGTTGTTGTTGTTGTGTGTGTGTGTGTGTGTGTGTGTGTGTGTTGGCTTTATTTTTTTTTTTCTCTTTCCTTTCCTTTCTGTCTCTTCATGTCTAGGACTGTGGGTCTCGCCATAGAAATTCAAATTGGTCGGTACCCGTGGTGATTAGGAAACAGGATTGAAGTCAGAGAAGAATGAAGTAACTTCAAAGGAAACCTAGGCTGCTAAAGAGCTCAGGCCCCTGGTGGTCCCGCCCGCAGTGCCCGCCAGAGCCCCGGCCAACGAGAGAGGAGTCGGCAGACACTTTCTGTCAAAGAGGAACCCAAGGCCCCCGCAGAAAGCCGGCCAGATTTCAAACGTTCTCGGCGTGCTCAGGGCTATGCATTATGCATCTCCGAGAGAGGGAGAGAGAGAGAAGGCTGACTAAATATTGATGAAGTAGAGGCCGCCTCCAGCTTGCTGATGCGCCTGGAGGCCCCCTGGGCTCGTTTGGTTCGGGCGGGTTCCACCCACCTCCTCCTCCACCCTCCCCATAACACTGCAAGAGAAATCACGGAAAACATTCCACGATCAGAAAAGCGCATGGTCGTCAACACCACGGGTCAGACGGGGCCTGTGCAGTCATGTGACCTGTTGTGTGGTCAGTGTCAAGGGGCAGGGCTCTGGAGCTAAGAGCTGTTTGCAGTTTCTCCAAAGTGAAATCCTCGAGGCCATTACAACCCTCATACTCGGTGGAACTGTAGCCGAGCCTACACGTCAGCCAATCTGCCCAGAAGCTGTTAGGTATCTACTGACTGTGTGGAAACCAGCACCCCGGGGCTTTTAGGTACTGGTGATTCTGACTGGCCTTTCTGGGGACATACTTCAGGGTGTTATTTCTGAGCCTGGCTAGAATGGGAAATATATCCAGGCCCCACTGCTCCAAAGAGCTCCATTCACCCCGCCTTTGTGGGTATTTCCAAAGCTTCAGAATCTAATCTTAAGAAAAATGGGTCTCACCCTTTCTGTGTTCCTGGGGAAGCATGGAGCCTTGCTGGGTAGGGATGTGTGTGTGTGTGTGTGTGTTGTGTTGTGTTGTGTAAGGGGAGGGAGTCCAATCTGGTCAGTTCCCTGGAAGTGGCAGCTGCTGATGGAAATCTGCCCCAGGCCAGTCTGGCTGAACTCTAGTTTGAGTGTGCAGTTTCAAAGTGTTTCCCACTCTGTCCTCCTCCCTACTCTAATTGTTAATACTCTAATCTCTAATTGTTTGCAGCTGCCAAGAGTAGCTACTCTGTGACCCACTGGCACCAAGTCCCAGCTAAAATCCCACTTTCTATGTGAGGCCTTTTCCAATCTCACTTCATTTTAGTGCTTTCCCTTTTTGATTATTTCTTGTTTATTCTGAATCTATCTTGTTCCTATAGGTGTTTACGTGTTGTCTCCTCCATTAGACTGTAAGCTCCTTGAGGGCACCGGCTGAAGTTGTGCCCCGGTTTGTTACCCTAATGCTTAGTACAGTGCCTATCATATAGTTGCTTAATGAATGTTTACTGACTAAATGATTGACAGTCAAGAATTTTCTGAATACCCTTAAATGTCCCCAGAGGGCTAATTCTGGTGAGGGATATTGCAGTGGGCAAAGGAAGAGGGATAGAAAAGAGGAAGAGAAGGAAGAGAAAGAGAAACATGAGAGTAAGGACAAGGAGGAGGAGAAAGGAGAAGGGGTAGAGGTATTTGATGCAATCCGCATAGTTCATTTCACTGGGAATCAATGATTTCAATCTGTAGGCAGGGTGCAAAAGGACTGAGGGAAGGTCGTCACATGACAGCAACGCCTGAAAGAGCTGCTCAGCCTTTTTCAAGTCCAGGATTCTTCAGCTTTCTCTCAAAAGGAAACAAAATGCCAATGTCCTTCATAGAAAGGATATTAAGAATGCCGATGTTAAGGTTACTATGACTCAATATGTTTTTTTTTAAATAATCATGTGAGATGTTCAGCCTTAAAAAACCTGCTTTTCCAGCCAAACTCGTTTACTTATTATTCTCTGAGTTCAGTATTCCACTCCCCACCATCCCTCCATGCTTTTGCATAGGCTGTCCCTCACGCCTGGCATATACTCACTCCTTACCTCCAGCAGTTTGAATCCTAAGCTTCCTCCAAGGCTTGGCCCATCTACTGCCTCCTGGAATCCTTTCCTACTCTCCCAAATTATTTGGTACTCTTTCCCTAATTGAATGACCAAATACATATATATATATATATATATGTGACATATAACTAGTAGAATGTGAGCTCGCTGAGGGTAAGGACTATTTTTTTTTATGTCTTGGTATCTCCTTCATCATACAGCCAGCAGAGTGGATAGAGAGCTGGCCTTGGAGCTAGGAAGATGTGGGTTCAAGTCTTACCACTGGCACATGACCCTGGGCAATGCTTTCAGCAGTACTCCCAGTTGAAGAGAAGGTGTGCCAGTGGAGGGAGTATCCTTATATGGGAGTCCACTATACTAAGGAAATCACAGGTTCAGTCTCTCTTCCTATTTGTTTCCTGAGTGCCTAGCACATAATAAGCTTTTTTTGTGTGAGCAAAATAGGCTTTAAAAAAAAAAACATTTTGACTGGATTGGACCCTGAAAGGCAACAGATCTGATTCCCACATGGGCAAGAGTTTGTTTATTCTACTTTCCTTTCCACTAGAGCACATGGGTCAGGTCATCTGAACACAGGCTGGCTGGTCTGTCAGGTGATTTTCCCAACCTGGGTCATGATGTCAATATTTTTAAAAACTTGAAGGCAATGTTTACACATGGACAATTCCAGCTTCTGTCCTGGCCTGAAATATCCATGGGAAAGAACATATAGTCCATACTGGGACCTGTGAGGAATCTAGACAGTTGTTTCTCAACAAAAACCTATCATAAATATGTTCCTGGTGTGTCTCAGTGTCCTGACAGCCTCTGTGATCTGTCCACTGTCAATTTGGGACCAGCAAGTATGAAGATAGCAGTGCCTATGGTAGAATACGTAGGGCAGAGAGTTAATGTGTGTGTGTGGGCATGTGCAAATATGCCTAGAGGAATGTACATGTGTATACATATACATCCAATATGTACATAAATATAATATACATTATATAAATACTCATACAAATAAAACAATGAACTCTTTTATTGAGCTTTTAAAGCCCCATACAACCTGGCCCTAACCCACCTTTCTGGTCTCTTTAGACATTACTATATTCCTCCCACTCCTGCATTTTGTGATGCAGCTGGGCTAGCTTTCATTCTGTTTTTCACATCGCTCCATCTCTCATCCTGTGACTTTGCCCTGGCAGTTCCCTCATGCCTGGAATGTGCTTCTCCCTCAACCTCTGCCTCCTTGAGTGTCCTTCTCTTCCTGGAAAATGAAGCCTGGCCTGAGCCCTCTAGTGCCCTCCCTCCAAACTACCTTGTATCTCACTACTGTGTGTGTGTAGGTAGATGTGTGTGTGTGTGTGTGTGTGTGTACTGCGCTAAGACTTTTGGGGCACCCTATATACATATATGTATATACATATGTATACACAAACACATAATAAATATATGCATATATATATAAATACACATATATACATCCATATGTATACAAGGTGTCCCAAAAATCTTAGTGCAGTTTTAAGCTATTAAAGCTTAATTAATGCAGTGGGAGCATTCATGTGCATGTATGTATGTGTGTGTGTGTATGTAAGTGCAACTGTGTGAGTATTAGATGAAGGGAAAAGTAAGCTGGGGTAGAGATGGACAAACCAGTGGTGGGGTGGTGAGTGGAATGACGGTCTTTAAATCCAAAGGTTTGCAAAGTTCTCTATCTACATTCTCTCATTTGGTCCTCACAATAATCCCCTGAGGTATGAGCTATTATTATTCCCATTGTACCGGTGAAGAACATGAGGCTCAGAGAAGTAGTCATTTGCTCAAAGTTGTACCAGTAAGCGTCTGTGGTGGGTTTAGGTCCTATGTCTTTCTGACTTCAGGTCTTTCCATTAGAGCACCCTGCCTCTCAATGACTGGGAAATAGCATCTAATTGGTACCAGGGGACTGTGGAGCTGGGGCCTGGATTCCAGGAGCTTCAGTCATTTTCAGGGCTCATCTCAAGTTCAAGGACTTTCACCAGAAGCCAGGGCTCAATGTAGCAGCCTGAAAGGACCTAGCCTAGCACACTTGAATCCTCAAAGTCACATATCCATTATGGTGAAAAGTTAAAACCAAACAAAAGAAAACAAATGTTTTTCCCAGGCATTCTCCCCTTCCCAGTCCAAGCTTTCCTCCCACTGAGCCCCAAATTTCTCAGCGCAGCAAATACACTTTGACCCCAGGTAAGCTGCCTCCACAAATCCTTCCCTCACACCCCCCCCCACACCAAGGGGAGGTCATACTTTACCAGAGTTGTGAAGATAAAGTGGTAGTACTCAGTCATCATCCCCATCGCCATGGCCTTTGGGAGGGAAGAAAGCAGAGTTACCATCAGTCCATCATGGCCTGGTCCTAAGAAGCTGGACATCACCTCTTCCACACCAGTGCCCACATCTTCCTCCCTCAACCTCCATTATACATATAGGATATTAGAACTCCATTAATCTTTTTTTTTTAAAGAGAGACCACTCAGTTAACTCCATAATAAAACCAAATTAGAAATTTATTTCAAAGTTATAATTTTTTAAAAAGTAAACCAAATTATCTTCCTCCCTCTAATGCTAGGATAACACATTCCCATTCCAAGAGTATGTATATAGGTCTTCATCGAAGACATGGAGGAAAGCAGTGTATGTGTATGAGGGATGGGGGAAAGAAGGAAGAACAGGTCAAGCCACTGTCTTTCAATTGTGTCAAATTATAGTCCCAACACTGGGGAGGGTCTTTCTTGAGACATCTACATTCTGTTGCCCAGCCTCACTTGTGATGAAAGTTACTCATGAGTAACATGGCTAGATGACCAATGACAGGATGTGGTCTGGAGCTCCCAATAAGTGGTATTTTCTTTTGGTCACAAAATGAGCCCATACAAGGATCTTCTGTCTCATGAATATTATAATGTATGAGCAATGTAACATATAAGGTATGAGCAGTGCTATAACATGTAAGTAGAACATGGCAAACATCAGGTGAGTGGGTTACCATCCTCTTCTAACATCTCCTAGGGGAAGATGGTCTCCTAACTTTTCACTGGGGTCCTCACTGCTGTAAGGGATTACTCTGGAGTTGCTCCAGAGTATAACGCCCTAGCCTTGGGCATGTCACCTTAGGCTGCTGATCTGCCTGGTTCACTTTGGGCAGGAATTCTAGAGTTACCTGCCTTGATTTTGGCAGACTGAACCACTGACTCACTGAGGATGACCCACTGGGATAGGGGCAACAAGTTGTCAGACATGTAATCTCTTCATTTTATCAGGAAAGTTGCAGCAGATATTTTCCTCCCCCTCTCTTCACTTTGGCAGTCTCCCACTTTGTTTCTACGAGATGTTAGAATGCCATAATTTCAAGAAAACAAAAAAAAATAGGCCACCCATTTAAACCATCTTGAGTGTATTCTTCCTCCTTCCAACCAGTTAATTTGATTCAATAAACAATTATTAAGAGCTTACTATGTGCCAGGCACTTTGCTAAGTACTGGGGATATAAAAGATAGTCCCTATCCTCAAGGGGCTTGAAATCTAATGGGGGAGAAAACATACCAACAAATAAATATGAAGCAAGCTATATACAGGATAAATAGGAAATCATCAACAGAGGGAAAAGTTGGTCACTGATCCATCCTCCCTACTTAGGAGCTGGAGACTGGGTTTCAGAATACCTGAGCTCTTGGCCCTTGCTCTATTACTTACTAGCTGGGTGGCCTCAAACAAGGCAATTCCCCTCTAAGTTTTCAGTTATCTGTAAAATGAGATGGGATTCATTCATTGAGCCATAGAGTTAGTCCAAGGAGTCCATAGCAAATCAGGTATTATCTCAATCAATCATCAGGTACCAATAGTACAAACACATCATGTAGGGGTCACAGAAATTAGGGGGTAGAATGGGAGGTCTCTACTCAAAAAGTTTAGGAACCACTAAACTATGACTTCTAACACTTCTTAAGGCCCTAGTCATCAATCTACAATATTGTGAATACCAAGATATGTGGATAGCTAATTGAATTTTCACGTAAACTTAATGAATTATCCTCTTAAGCTGAGGCACCTAGAACTGGAGTTTAGGAAGGAAATTGATAATCAATCAGTAATTATTTATTAAAAGCCTACTATGTTCCAGGCATTGCACTAAGTGTTGGGGAAATAAAAAGAAGCAAAAGATAGTCTACCACGAAGGAGCTTGCAATCTAATGGGAGAGAAAGAAAATGGAGAACACCCAGATCAGTGGCCATGATTGATGGTGAGGGCTTTGATTCCATGTCATGTAAGGATCAGTTGAAGGAACTTGGAGTAGTCTGGAGAAGACTCAGAGAGGTCATGATGGCTATCTTTGGGAACTTACAAAGCTATCACATGGAGGAAGGATTCGACTGATTCTGTTTTGGATCATGTGACGAGAAAGATTGTGGAGCAACTACTTGCCCCAAAGAGCAACTCAAAAACCTCAGAAAAAAAGAATTGTACACTAGATATAATGGAATTACAAGGGAATCCACAAGATAAGAAGGCATAACACTGCATAAGGTTAAAATCTCATTTAAGGGTGGGGAGTAATTAGCCCAACCAATGAATCATTCCACTCCATTCCAAGTAACTAGTTAACCTAGTGAGAATGCCACTGTTGAATCCATCATTAAACCAAGGGCATTGGGCTAGGTGAAAACAACCTGGTCAACAAGTTTGGAGGCAGAAAAGGTCATTTAGTGAAGTGGTACGACACTGCACAGTAGGTGTATTTGTATTGGTTGTGGAGATTCGATCATATCTTAGGGATCTTTTATAAAACAGCAAATTAGTCCAGATCCCAAGCATTGCAGTGTCTGGCCATCAAGTGGTGGAAGTCATTCCAACCGAACCCCTGACAGAGAATCACTTGGGGAAGAGGGAAGGAAAGTATTTGGACTCCTTCTCCCTTCTTGATCAAAGGAAGACTTCATAAATTTTGGATGGTTGAAAGAGCTAGACTTCTCACTGGCATCTTAGCAGTCAGTCACCCCTGGGACAGCAGTCTGTACAGGAATACTGAGGAAAGTCAGTTTTAAAACTATAAGAACCTAGCAGAAATTTACACAATGACTCAAGGGAATTTCATGAGGGCCTTATGAAGAGGTGAAAAGGACCTCAGCAAAAGAACCTCCAAAAGGTGTGTTACCCTCTTTGCCAGAAACACTCCAAGCTTGAGCCTGTTTTCCTTTGGTCTCCGAATATACTTGTGGGAAAGTGTGCCCCTAGTTTGGGGGGGGATATTTTGTAGCAATTGTTCTAATTATACCCCCTTAGTAAATAACCATTTCTAAAAAACTAATTATGTCTGACTAATTGATATCAATTGATAGTCAATGGAGGGAAGAACACTATTGAGGGCTCATAAGCTGAGCAACAGCCACCTTCTAGAGATTCAACCTACTAGTCTGTGTGTGAGTTGGGAGAGTGAACCCAGAGTCTATACTACACTTACGAAATAACATCAGAGAACTAGTTTTGTTCTGTTTGGCCACAGCGGGTAGAATCAGGAGCAATTGATAGAATCTCCAAGATCTCAATCTTAAGATTGATATAGAAAAAAAATCCTAAAAATTATAGCGCTCTCTCTCTCAAAGTAGAATAGGCTGTCTCTGGAGGCAGTGGGTTTACCCCATTAATGGTGGCCTTCAAGCAGATGCTGGAAGACCACTTGATAGGTGAAATTTGTTGTTGTTGAGTCATTTTCAGTTGTGTCCAACTCTTCATGACTCCATGTAAGGTTTTCTCGGCAGAGATACTGGAGTGGTTTGTCATTTACTTCTCCAGCTCATTTTATGGAAGAGGAAACTGAGACAAACAGGGTTAAGTAACTTGACCAGGGTCCCATAGCTAGTAAATGTCTGACGCCAGATTTGAACTCAGGAAGATGAGTCTTCCTGACTCTAGACTTGGCACTCTATCCACTGTGCCACCCAACTGCCCTGAAACAGGTGAAAATTAGTTAAAATAGGAATTTTTTTCATATGTGGCTTACATTAGATGCCCACTGAAGTCATTTCCAGCCCTGAAAGTCTGTGATGTTTTTGGCTAATAACAATTAATTTCATTAAATATAACACTTCAGGCCTTCAAAGATGTGTGGAAGCTACCCACATAAAGAGAATGCAGTCATTTCATGACTTAATTTACATGAGGTTGAGAACTTCATCTCTTTTTAGCCAACCTTACGGTAATGAGCCTCTTTCAATTTAGCTAAACTGGTTCTTAGATGACAGAAGCACAGCCTGTTGCCTTGGGCCTTTTCAAGTTGGAGGAACTTATTATATCTTTCCGTCCCCTTTGATAATATTTGAGTGCCTGGGGTTACCTCCATCTCCAGGTGAGGCATCAAAGAAGGATATCAGGGGAGGAATCAAGGAATCTTGGAGATGGAAGGGCCCTCAAAGGCCATCTGATTCAACCTGTACCTGAACAAGAATCCCCTCTACAACTTACCTTATGTGGTCAATGAGCTTAGGCTCAAAGAATTCTAGAATACTAGAGTATTTTAAATTCACACAACAGTTCCTTCCAAAACATTTTGTGAGACAGGGAATAGAAGTATCATTATCTCTATTTTACATATGGATAAACTAAACCTCAGGTAGAGGATGTGACTTGATTGTTGTTACGTTGCCAGTAAGTGGGAGATTTAAGGCTTGAACCCAGGTCTTCTGATTATAAGTCCAGGGTTCTTTCCATTGTATCACTGCCCACTCCACATCCTCTACTGAATTATACAGAATTTCAGAGCGGGAATGGCCCTCTGAGAATAACTGGTTCAACTGACAACCAAACCAGAAACCTCTTATAATATGCCAAAGAAGTGGTGATGCAGCCTCTTTTTTTGGAATACTTTCAGTGAGGGGGGGTACCCTACCATTCCACTTGGGGTGGCTCTAATTGTTAGGAGGTTTTTCCTTACATCAAATTGAAATCTGTCTCCCTGCATCTTCCACCTACTGCTAAGCCTCTCAAAACTCCAAGTTCTGCCCTCTAGGGCAAAGGAGAAAAAGTTCAACTCTTTCTTCATGTAGCAATCCTTCCAATACTCAAAGACAGCCATTACATTTCCCTTTAACTTGCCTCTTCTCCAGGTAAAATGCCCCCATTTCCTTTAGCCATTCTTCATATGGCATAAGCTTTCATTATCCTAGTTGTCGCTGTCTGGACTTTCTCCAACTCACTGAGCTTCTTCCTGAAATGTGGGAACTAGAACTGAACTCAATATTTCCAATGCGCTCTGACCAGGACCGTTGCCTCTCTTGTTCTGGATACTATGCTTCTCTTAATAAAATCTAG